CCTTCCTAAAAATCAAACCAATGCCGCTCAGTGCGCTGGTCAAGGGTACCTCTTCCTTCATATTTAATAAGTTCACGACTTGCTTCACCTGCTGTGATTTTTTCCCCTAGTAATTTCGTAGGACATTGCCATTTTTCTTCTTTGAAACAAATAACTAAACCGAGGCTTTTTTTTTTTTTTAAGAAGTCAAATGGGATTAAACGAGCTTAGAGAATGCTCTAAAGGGATTATTAAGTATTGGTAAGTATTAAATGGGATTAAATCATTTACAGTTCTTTGAAATATTGAATTTGATAAAACGCTCATTTTTTTTTTTTTTTATACATCCTATTACAATTTCTCTAAAACGCATCATCTCAATTCGTTGACTTTGAAAACCGTTGTGTTTTGAAACCTCTCATTTTTTCAATGACATTTATTAATTTTTTTAAACAATTTAAAGATCGAAATTGGGATTCCTCAACTTCTCCATGAAATTCCGTTTTGTTTGATAGCTAATTAAAAAAAAGTCCTAAGAGCCGGAAAAGGAATCTATACTACTGTATCACATATTGTAGATATTTATCTATTTCAATATTGCCTAGTTTCAAACTTCGGTATATAATCATAACATCTATTCTTCCTTTCGTTTTGAAAGTGATAGATTTTAGTGAATAATTAAAAAACTTTATTTTGCCTTTTACACTGTTTATAGAAAATTTTCCACTTGTTTCTAAAAATGAAGGTAGTTTCTATATGTTTTGTTAAACTTGTATCGTACGTTTAATAAAACGAATGTTCTTTTTGGGCCAATAACTTAAAAAATCTTATAATAAAGGTTTTAAGTTAAATAAATTGAGGGAATAAGTAAATATGTAATTTTATTTTACATAATTTTAAAAAAATACAATATTGAGCATACAATAGTTGTACGATATTTTAAAGAGCCTGGGTACGAGGAAGTAGCAGAATTAAGATACAAGGATTTGTTATTGACGGGCGGCAACACTGGCTACAACTCCATCATTCTCATCACTAGGAACTGTCACCTTCTGAATATTTACCAGTTATTTTAAAAATCCAGGATGCTCCGAAGGGGATTTCATAGCGCAAGCTGCGCCATCAACATTTTTGAGTGGGGCACATTTTAAAGAGGTTTTGAATTTTTTATGGGGCAAATTTTGACGGGATTTCGGAATGAAAGTTTCAAACTAGAGGACAAGGGAAAACTTGTAACAGACCGCAGCACTTGTTAAAAATAATTATTAAACTTATAGATTAAAATTGGATACAGATAGATTTATAAGAAAAATTTACTCCTGTCCACTAAAGCGTAAATTCTGTTTATTTTTTCTAATTGTTCTGTTCTTTTCCTCTTCGAAGATAGTATTTGATATCAGTCCATAAATATTTTGGATCGATGTTATTAACAATATTCTGAAATCATGCGATACAGACTCCTAGCCTGACGTCTGTAACAATGTACGCTGTGTAAGTTCCACTTTCTGGCGATAATAGCAATGACTTGTAAGTAATCTTGCTAAGTAAATTCCGTCTAATATTTACAGTGCAAGTGGTTTATTCGGCCTAAGATATGTCGAAGGCACCTTTAAGTGAATAAGATGAGAGTTATTAATTTTTAAAACACCTCGTTATTTTTAAAAGTAAATGAAAGTTGGGAGGGACCAGTAGATAATTTGATGTTTGTAAATAATTTCGTACAAAAATATTCTTTTCTATTTAGAAATATGTATAGAATTCAAATTTCACAGTTTCAAAGAAGATGGAAAACATAATTCATTATATTGTAAGTTGTACATTCAAGGAGTCCGGAGTTGCCGTATTTGCCATGTTAACATTGGAGGATCTAATTATATCTTCTAAATGGAGGACACTTTGAGTGATTAATGGCTACTATAAAAGTACTCTAAAGTAACACTAAGATATGTAATATTAATAATTGAATAAATACACGGAAGATATTCTTACTCTTATGAACATAGTCAATCAGAAACCTGAAGGTGGAAAAAGGAGGAACTTGATTATGATAATGGAAAAGTGACTTGCGGAACGATATTTGACTATGCTGAGAATAGACGGCTCAATGGGCTGTTACCGCTGAATAGACGATGACCCTCTCAGCCAAGTTGCCATGTCGGAGTAAGTTCATGGCTTGGTAATTGACCAATATCTTGTAACCCACATGCAACCCACTATCGATCTCAATATACCTACCGGTTACATTAGGACGCAATGGTTGTGTAGTTCTATGAACAGAGCAAAGATTTGTACTTACTAAAATCCGGAACAATAGCCACATTCAAGGATCATTTTCCAAATAAATTTACCGACTGGTTCTATTCAATTTAGCCAAAATTGAATGTGAAAAATCAAACTTCTAGCTACTGCAATGGTGGTGAAAGACAGACAGCACCGTCGATTGCATAAAAATCCGTGCTCTATTAATAAATTGTGATGAGTTTCTATTCACGTATCAACCTTATCAGAGTAATAAAAAAAAACCTAACCATTTGACGTAAACGACATTTATTAGCCGTAATGATGTTAATTAATGAAACTATGGAAGAAAGTCATTCTATTGATTGCAAGTTAGCCAGAATGGGAAGGCTAAGATATAATCCATAGGTCTGTCATAATATAAGGTCAAATTAGAACAGCCATTCACACTAGGTTTAAGACTATCCTTGGCCATTAAGGGTCTTCTGTTTTACACTTAAGCATCGTCCGCACTGAATGATATTTGTAAATGAAGGCATGCGACGATCTAGTTATAATATTGATAGTAATAACTATCTATTACATTATAATGTTCACACAATAGTCCAGTCAATGAATGATTGTAGAAGAAAATGGCGGGGCCATAAATTTTGACTTTGGGGCATTGTTTAGACAAGTAAGGAGGTAAACATACTAAAAGTCCCAAACCCTAGGTGGTGAGTCAGATGTGCGGTGGGAGGGCGCCTGGAGGTCACTTTTTTCGAGTTTTCGCTTATATCAGGAAAACTATCCATCGCACCGACAAAGACGTTTTATACAAAATTAAAGCTGATACAATTTGAAATATGATTGGTAATATACGTTTTTTGCTACCTCGCTTAATTTTCGAGATATCCGTCCTCAAGCATAGCTAATGTGGAAAAAAAATTGTTACCTCATGTTTTTTACTGTATTTAACCAGCTAACTTTTGATTGCTTCGTTTTACAATTAAGTCATGCAAAATAAAGTTTTTAATAATTAAATTTTCTTTAAGAATATAAATTATTTTACTAGTTTATCTTCAACTGTTCAAAAGTTAGATCAGTTATAACATTATATGTCGATTCTGAGAATTAGCAGAAAAAAATATTTTTTATAATAAACGGTATTGTTATATTGCTCTAACTCTCTCTATATATGTATACATATACATACATACAGTAACGTTTATTGTAAATAATATTTTTTCCTGCATATTCTATTTAAACGTTCTATTTCCTTTGTAAAAGCATTTTCTACTGGAATTCCTTCCATGATTGCATTTTTTGCTATGGTATCAATTAGCTCATTACCTCTAATACCAGAGTGACCCGGTAAAAACAAAAATTGTGTCTTATATCTAACATTCTCTATTGTTTTTAAATGTCTCACTGGGTCTGTGACTAATGGGTTATTTGGAAAAGAATTTTTCATAATCTTAAGGGTAGATTATGAGTCTGTAAAAATATATATTTGCAAGATATTAAGGTTGAGATTAAGCATGATTTATTGCAAATAGTTTTGGAATGTAAGAGGTACAATATGGGGATAATGTGTACATTTGTACATTATCAGAAACAGTATCCACACCTACTCCATCTTGGGTTATGGGAAAGACAGACAGATTGTTTAGATCGATTCACTAAGAGGCTTTATTGAAATGCACTTGTGGATACTCGAGGTGCTGTATTTTGAGGTGTATTGAGCATTTCAAGCCTTCTTTCACTAGTGTAACCATAAACTATACATACATAATTGAATTTTCTTAAAATAAGTGCTCTATATAATCAAATTATACTTGTTTTATCAGCCTCCAGTTCTGATTGCTAACCATTTTATATTCAATGCCTGTAAACAATTGGACCTAAGTTGTTTAGTATGAGGTGTCTATATAAGAGATTGGTCTAAAGTAACACTAAGATATGTAATATTAATAATTGAATAAATACAGCTCTGAACCTTAAGATTTGGATTATGTCTTTTACCTTCCTTGAAGTGGGCTCTAACCTCAATGCTCTGTCATGGTCCTTTAGTGATCTCTAATAAAGAAATTTAAAATATGTATATATATATATATCTATATCTTATTAGATTATTTTAATTTTGTTTACAGATTTAATTCTTTATTCATTTTGGGTTTTATGTAACCAAAGATGCTCAGAAAGCAGAAAATTATATTGTGCAAGTTGCACCATCAAAATTTTTGAGATGACATATATTTCCTGGGTTTTGAAGTTTTGAAGGAGGCACATTATTATGGAATCATGAATTTCTTGAGAGAACCATATTTTTGTGGGTTTGAATTCGGAGGAAATTTAAAACAAGGGGTTAAAAGGAAACCATGGAGCAGACAACAGCAAGCATAATTGAATTTGATAAACAATTTTCCTAGTTGTAGAACTAGCTTTTACATTTTTTTTTTTTTAAAGCTTTTACTGTTTTTAAGAAGGGGAGAGCAATGAAATTTCTTCAGGGAGGGGGAGAGGGTAAGAAGAGTAGGTAAAATATGCCATCCACTTTAGGGGAATGGACACCCCTGTAAGTAACTATGAAAATTATGGACAAGAACAATTTTGATTATTAAAATACATTTTATTTTTGCAGGAATTCAAACTTATGTCAAAAAAGACAAAATTTTTGCAATTGTAACTTAATTGTGCCAGACATTATTCATTTTTATAGGTAATTTTCTTTTTTTAAATCTCATAATGTACTTATTAATTTATAACTGATCCCATTTAAATAAAATTTCGTTTACTTTTAGGAGTGAAAAAGAAGTTTTAAACATTAGTAAGTCTGAAAGTGTTTGTATAAAAGCTGCTGGAAGATTTCATGACAATGTTTGGATACATACAACTGATATCAAGTCAACGTCCCATCAATTGGAAGATTTGGGATTAACTTCTCCTTCTTTCAAGGTTCTTCAGGCACCCTATGGACCAGGCCCTGTACATCTTAGCATACTGAGGTATTTGCAATTTTTGCAGTTTTGAAGTTTAGAAAGTACATAGAAGTAATCACTGTAAAAAAAAAAAAAAAAAAAATCAAGAATAGGCAAAATCAATTAGTTCAATGTCAGATATGAAAAAACGAACAGCATAGTTTAGCCATTAAAAAGCCCCCTTTAAATGGTTTTAACATAAACAAACTCCACTTGCATTAGAACTAAATGTTGGCCAATTTTATTATGAAGCAATTATTAATTACCTAAATTAAATATTTTCAGTTATAGCCTCCTGTTCAACTAGAAACATAACACTTAAAACATTCACAAAACTTGAATCTGTTCTTTTTTAATAGGAAAAAAAAATCACTAATTTTCTGAGGAAAATTGGACCATGACTTTATAATTTTTCTAATTATCATTAAAATGAATGAACACATTCACACCGTATATACCAAAAAGAAATAAAATTAACAAAAGTAAAATAACAACTAAATAATAATAAATAAAAAATATACACAATAAAAAAAATAAAATAACCTAAATATAAGTAAACTAAAAACATAAAAATACAGTCATACCTATATACAATATATATATATATATATATATATATATATATATATATATATATTCATTTATTAATATAATTATTGTCCCTGTGACAGAATATTATATGTCTAATAAATAAATAAATTAAAAAAAAAAATTATCATTAAAAAATCATAGTAATCATTAATAAACGTAATCATATTCTGAAGTTTCTAACATACAAATAACAAAAAAAAACAAACATTATTTTAAGAGAATTACCTCTAAAAACGGGGTTATTATATTTTTTTTAGTATTATTAAAATTTAAATTAAGTACTGATGTTTCCTTAACATATTTTAGTGTGTCAAGAAAAAGCACAAAATGAATCATAAATGTGTAACTTTTTATATCCTAACTTAATGGTTTCAAATAAAAAACTGTATAAAAAAATGGGTTTGAATTATCCTTTAAAACTGATAAATAAAAAATAAACCACATCACAAATTTTACTATTTCAATCAAGTTTAGTAAGCTTACATGTAAGATAATCTTTTTAGAAATATTTTTTTTTTTTAAATTCACTAAATCTATAAGTAATTTCTTTGTTTCAGAAAATATGGTGGTATATTTTTGAAGAATGATGTTTATCTACTTCACAGACTAGATCAAATGAGAGGTCATGACTGGAGCAGTGCTGGCGAGAATGACATTGTAGCTGGGACCAAAGATGGAGTAACCAATGGAAGACAACTCAAACTGAAGGACATATTATTCGATAAGAACTATGGTGCTCTCTTCATCAGGGATCTAATTCAGAATTGTACATACTCGGCTGTTCGTTTAGGTTTAAGATAGCTCGATTATAATTTGTATTAAATATCACTTGTAAATAGATTTATTGATGAAAATAGACTGTAAAGTTATTGATTAATACTTTAGGCAAATAAGTAAGGTATCAGTTTTATACCACTTGACATCTGAACAATATGTATTAATGGTTTTATGATAGTATATTTTTCCTAAATTGCATTATTATAATCCATAGGATTTATGATCCACAAATTATAATAATATTAATAAATAATAGTCCAGATATAAAGTGAGAAGGAAGAATGAAACCTTGGAAAATATTTCAATACAAATTTGGACACATAATTAAGTTCCTATTCTTGTATACACAAAGGTTTTTCTTCACCTTTCCTTCCTGATCTAACATTATTAGCGATGATTCTAATTATTTTTGAAGTTAGATGTGTAAGCAGCTAAGCTGCGTTAACCAAATTTAATGGTTCCTATTAACAAAGGATAATTATTAACTTGCGTAAAGCTGAGTTTTCAGATATTTTTTTTAATAGTTCTATTGGACAGTTCAAATCGCAGAAAGTAAAAAGGCAGTCCATTTTGCAAGATTTACTATTTTTGGTCCATATTCAAAATGTCTCTCATGCTTAAGACCATTTGTTTCCCTTTTATATTATCATACTTAAATTGAGCCTTGGTATTACTGAAGTAGGTCAATTAAAATGAAAATATGTCTTTCTGAGTAGTTAAATCTCCTTCTCGACCAATTTTAGTCATTAGATATTCTGTCACAATTATATTATATAATTAATAATATTGTAGAATCAGGCAGGTGAAAGATAAATGATTGAAAGTGGTCACAAAATAAAATTAATTTCACAGAAAGATATTTTTTTATTTTAATTTATCTTATAATTTTTCTTATTCATGTTGAAATGTTGATAAATAAATCGGGGAATATTTATGCCCAGTATTATATATGTATACCAGCAATTGCCCAGGGCGTTAACCTGGATGGGATCGTCCACTACTTGTTTGGAATGAAAAAAAATTAACAAAATATGAGAATAATTAATTTTAGCTGATTAATACAGTATATTGAATATAACAAAATTCAAATATTTCTTAATATAAAATAGCTGAAGAAATAAATTTAATTTTGGGGGAAAGTGGCATCATTGCCCAGGAGCAGCAAATGTCCAAGTACGGCACTGCTTATGCCACGCAAAAGATATAAAAGCAATAATAATTTAATTATTAAAATACATTTGTCAACATCTTTTGGATAAATTTTACTATGCTCAAAATTACTGAATATTGCTGAAAAGTGGCAGCTAGATTATTATAAACAAAGTTTGATGCTGAAAACTTTGACGATATTTTGATGGATGTCTTCACAAATGTTGGATGGTTAATTGTCGAAAACTGTTGAAAAATAACAAATCCATGTCTGCACAAATATTTTAAGTGAACATTAAATACATATTAAAATAAACCAATATACAAAGAATCAAAGAGAATTAATAAACAAGGAATTACAGCATGCAGCCAATATTTTTATTTCTAACTATAAAAATTGAATTTCCAACACGTTAACCAACAGTTTATTTATTTCTTATGTAAATTAAAAGTTTTGCACCAAGTAAACAAGAAATAAGGACAATTTAAATCATTAGTTTTTAACAACTTTTATTTTATTTTTTTAATGGAAAAGTGAACATTTGTTATTTAATAGATTGGAAAGTAATATGTAGAAGTCCTAATTCCTTTTCTGATGACTCTAACTACGCCCTTTACTCAAAGTGTCTGGATAGCCTGTCACTAGCTACATAGAGATTCCTTATTTCTTTTACTTCCAAGTTAACGGGTTTGAATTGGACTTATTTTCATTCAATTTTCTTTTTTGGTACAGAGTTTATTTATTTATTGATTAATTACTATATATCATCCAGGCCATTGTTAAAAGTAGAAACATAACAAAATCTACTATAAAAGCAAATACTGATAAAATTTGTGTAAAAACTAGTCCTTATTTATTATTATACATGATTTTGTTTATAAACAATTAGAGTAAGTATATATTTGTATTATGAGTGTAAATTGAAAAAAATAAATTTAATTATAATATAAGTTTTTGTATATTGTTTAAAGAGTTGAATGTTTTATTTAAAGCTTTGTTTAATAAGACTGTTAGACCAGAAGACCATTACTATGAAGAAATTATTATGATTATTTATTATAAGATTTCAAATTAATTATTATATTAATAAATTTTCTTTTTATTAAACTAAATAATAAGCCAAAGAAAATCTAAAATATGCTAATAAATTAATAATAAATATATCAGTTATGATTCCACACATCTATGTCTATTGGTGATATATACTTATTAGAAATGATCAGTAGCAATATCTGTACTTAAAATTGTATAATTTATTCTATTTCATTATATCGTTCTGCACTTATTTTTAAGTGTGATTTCACCTATTGTGCCTAATTGTAAGATTATTTTTTTAAAATTAAGATAATGCTTATTTGTATAAAGAAATATATATATATTTTAATATACTTCAATACATTTATTTATTCACATATACAGTAGAACTATTTCAATTCAAAGTTAAATATATTACTGAAAAATTTTGAATTATTTATGTTTATGTATAAAAGAACCATTGTGTCCAATGATTCCTTCATTGAATAATAAAATGATTCAGAAAAACAAAATTCAACATTTATTGATACTTCGATAATTCGCAATTATTTTAAGTAATTGTGTACAAGTGAAGTGAAAAAAGTATGTGTATGAACAAGTGCAATATGAAATTCACTAATGACTATGTACAGAAGATATTGACTGTTCTGTCAATATTGTTTGTGACTATTTTAACAATCAACTTGTTAACATTTAGAAAATTTTCTGTTGCTATAATAGATATACTGCTGAACTGCTATTAGTGCTTTCATTACAAAAATATGATATTATAGTGTTGAATAGTAGTGAAATTATTGAATCGAAACAAGAAGGGGCTGAAAGAAAAGTTTGAATTATTCATGATTTAAAATTTAAAAAATACAAATTATGCAAGTTAGACTATCTTAAGATAAGAATCCTTCTACTCTTATACATATACCAGATTATTCTTAACAATAACTAATCATCTCTGAATCATATGAGAACTTTCACAAATGTTATCATGATGGTACTTCAGATGGAATGAGCGTTTTTAATTGTATTATTTTAGATTCTTAAGTGGGATCACAATCAGTCAATAATAACAGGGCAGCTGTTGAAATTAAGAATTCTTCATTCAGAAACCTCGTCTACCACAAAGGTGTTTTCTTATAAGAAACACCAACATTTTGAGAAATATCTTTAATTATCAACCTGAAAGACAATACAATAGAATAAATGGGGAGAATGGCAAAGAATAATTAAAAATAAAATATATTATCTATTTAGGAATATAGATACCACTAATGCGATAAAATTAAATTAACTTTATTGAGCAGGTCTGATCTATGAAGAACTAATGGCAAACTTTGCATGAACATCAAGTGGTAAGAAGATCAAGATCAAGGTGATCAGATTGAGTTGAAAATAATGCCAGAAACTTAGAGGAAAGCTACTAGATGATTACAGATAATTAATTAATTGACTGCAATTCAAATTTTTAAAATGACTTCCATTTTCAACTGTGTACTGACAAGGCTTTAATTCTAGGGAGAGGGTTAAGTGATTTTCTTTTGTCTAGGACAAAACTAAAATTCTGAATGTGTTCTATTTTGTAAGAAGTTTTAAATATACTCAATTAGACCTTAAGACAAAATCTACAGCAATGCATCATAGTTTCACAATTTATTGTGTCCATAAGTATGAATCAAAGAACTTGATAAAACAATTTGTAATTCCTGTCATAGTCAAATATTTAACAAAAAACTAATAGAAACCGATTTCTCAGGAGTTATTTGTTGTGTGTATAAAATTGATGTCCAGAGCATGGAAAACTTCTTTTTTTAAGGAAGGGTATAAGAAAAAAAAATTCTACAAAATAAAAAAGTCTCCAAAGTAAGTAAATGGGTTAGTTTTTTTAAATTAAAGGAAAATGAAAATGATATTATAAGTAAATAAAAATTAAATTTCAGAAATGTAACTTCAGTGAATAAATGATTACATTGAAAATGCTGACTTTACATGAAAGCAGTTTAGAATTTTGATTGATATTGTAAGTTTTATAACGCAGTGGAGCAAACACATTTTTGTTTTACGTTAAGCCAACCTATGATTTACATACAGTTAATAAAATAATTTAAAATTAGATTAAACATATCTATTAACAAAACCTAAAACAATATTGATGGTTACATTTAGGTAACTTATGTAACTGTATATGTGTGTTATAAAGATCAGCGTGTATGATGGAATGGTACAAAGCAGTTTATTAATTTCGTTTCAATTTTTGTTAACTTATTTATTGATAGATAGTTGCAGAGGAACAACTTGTAAAAATATAAGGCTCAAAAAGTTTTATCCGTAATAAAATACCACCCTTTTTTCCTTCTCATGGGTGGTATAAATCAAAGTGTTGACAGTTAGGTAACAGTAAGTTATTTCATTTTTATAACTAACATTTATCGCAAAAATCTGAACCCTGGGGGCATAAGGGCTGCTAGTATATGAGCTGCAATATGATCAAAGTTTTGTCTGCATTTACTTTAATTTTACAAATAAATATTTCATCTAGAAAAATAATTGTATTTAAAATAGAAATGAATTCTTAAGGGAAAATCCCATTCTTATAGTGTAGTCAATTATGAATTTGGAATTACAGAATAACAACTTTTTATTTTTTATATTAGAACATTCATTTAAGAATATTATAGTTAGCTGTATATTTATTTAGTTGCATTTAGGTGCCATGTGCGACTTCATATGTTAGAGGCACCTTTTTCAGTTTCATATACATTTCATTACATATTCAATAGATAAATGTCTGTAAAAGATTATATTGTTTCAAGCGAGATTGTGTTGTTAAGTTTTGTCTATAGATAATCTGTTTTTACAACTGCATAGGTTAGTTCTAATGTGCATTGAATGTATACAAGGGTTGTGTTG